CAGAGAGAGCAAAAAGCCAGAACGTCTGCTTAGATACAGATGCGGGCCACACCCCCAAGGAGACTCCCTTTCATCTGATTGGCTACTCACAGTATATTCAATCATGGGAGTGATTACATTAAAACACGGAGAATCATGGCCCAGTCAAGTTGACACACAATCTTAACCATCACAACTAGTTTCACCTGAAAGGAACAAATTAGTACAATGGAATTGGTAAAACACGGAGTTCGGATTATCCTGATTTACCACAAAGCTGCTTCTTGGGCGTGCCTCTTAGATGACCAACCCTTAGATGGGCTATTATATTTTACTAAATAGCCAAGACAAAGAAATTTGTCATTCCCTGCATGACTCCTATCTTGAAACCAAAGAAACAAGACAGTCATTAACACTAGTTAGACAAGTTTCATCTTACTTGTTCTCTACATCTCACCTAGCCCATAAAAACAAACCAACCAACATTGGATATAACACATAAACCTGTGAAACACTGGTCAGCTCAAAAGCTACACCAGAAAGTTCTTTTATCATCATTATCATCACTGTTATCCCTGTTGCTGCTACAATAAGCACATTATGTACAGATAAGTGGTTATTTTATTCATGCGATTAAGTCAACAAAACCTAACAAGTTGCTAGAGTATTTTCCAGTTTTTTGTTAATTGGTAGCTTTCTCTAATTTAGATCTTTTTTTCTGGATACTTTCAAGAAACATGCTGTTTTTTTGAGGTCTGCAAAACCTTTCAAAGTCTTTGGGAAATTTCAGAAAGATGTTTTTAAAAATGAGAATTCAGCAAATTTTTTCTTACTAGGAAAGAATATGTATGTAATTAGGTAATTGACCTGGAATGTTGAGGAAATGAGGCATAGCACTTCTTTCATAACCACTCTGGTGGCACAGTGCTAGGCTGCTAACCAAAAGGTTGGCAGTTCAAATAACCAGCAGCTCCTTGGAAACCCTATGGGGCAGTTTTACTCTGTCCTATAATATAGGGTTGCTAGGAGTCAGAATCGACTTGATGCCAGTGGGTTGTTTTTCTTTGTTGTTGTTAATAAGAACACTGCCATTTTTTACTCTCTAGTAACGGAACAAAAATTATATTTTCTAATATGAAAAAGCTTACTTAGAAATGATTTAAAAGTCCGAACACCATTATAAAATTTTATATACGTAGAACAATGTACTTTAAAACACAGAACCTGAATTAACAGCTGATAAACTGCAGGTGGTCCTCAAAATGTCACAGATTTTCAAGTGGATTCCCTTCTGTAGGCTCTCTTCTTTTCCACACTCCCCAAATTTTGGTTTACCAAGGTTCCATAAGAAAGTAGAGGTGACAGTCTATTCAACCCATTAGATCATTAAACTTCTCTGCTCCTTATCTAGAACTCTCTCGCTTATAATTTAAAGTCCTTTAAGGAGGGCTTTATATAATATATAAATATAAAATATATATATTTATTATATATATTTATATATAATTTATAAAATTTGGGGACCTCTGCACTGGAATCTTGCTTTAATATTCCTCTCTATATAGTAAAATTTAATATAAGGTGCATTTAATTCAAATGGTCTGTAAATGGAGTTCTAGTAAGTAAAAACTATATTTTGTTATGCTTTGCAGTTTAACTGCTAAAGCAACACCAGAATGTGGTTATAAGGAATCTAATCTATGAGATGATACTTGGAATTGACTCCGAGGATAGAATTATACTAAGACTGATGTTTTTAAAATGTTAATAATATAGTTAACATCATTTTTATTCACATAATTATTGTGATTTCATTAAGCCAAATGGTTGACTATGCCAGAATAGCAATGATCCTTACCTGATGTAGATTGAATCCAAAAGTGAGGTAACTATGGTCTAGTTAAGTTTATGGAGTTGGTTAAATTAACTGCAGATTAATCTTTTAAGCTATTTTCTTTGTTAAATGAGTAATTGATCATGGAATGCAAATTCTTACCTTTTAAAAATTAATTTGGTAAATGAAATAGTAAATTGTTTCATTGATGGACCTGTTTTTAGTAATTTAGAACATCATTTTAGCACATTCAGCTATTTTTCAAAAATAATAATAACCTAATAATAAGGCTATTATTCAAAAAGAATAATCAATCCCTAGATTTACTAGAGGAAATTATTTCATTATTAAATCTTTATTTACCAAATACTGTGATCATGTAGATATAGAATAACTGCCTTAATTGTTTTTGACAAGAAGAAAGCTATCAAGAAGAAAAAAAAAGTCACAGCAGACCCATAGCCAACAATATATATTCTTTAGAACTTTCCAGATGATCCAAAGGAGACTTTCAGGGGAAAAACTTCTTATAAGCTGTAAGGTAGTAATTATTTGTATAGACACCATCTCAATCACTTTAGAATCACTATTTAGGCTCTATGATGTGTGAGTCCCTCATATTTGTATGTATGTCTCAGAAACAATAAAATACCAGACCAAGTTACAACTGGATAATCCAAAACAAATTTGAGACCTAAGATCTCACTCTCATAGTGCCATTCTGCTAGTCACTAGAAGAGACACCTTACCAGAAATTTAATAGCGTTGTAAGTATTGACATTAATTGAATTATATACTTTCTTTATAGTATGATACATCTAGTGTAAGAAATACTGTGCCTGAATAGAATTTTTGCTCTGACTATGAGATTAAACAACAGAATTCCAGTATAAAAGCATACATGGAATGTGTCTGAAATAGGAAGTTTCTCTGAAGAGCTTTGACAAATACGGTTGGTTCTGGGAAACACTAATTAACAAGTCATCAAAAGAGACAAAGAGGTATAAGGAAGAGGTAAGATTAACAATAGAGATCAAAGTAGAGAGGAAACAAGACTGGGTGGAGTTGCACACTTGTGGCGTAAGGTAATGTTTAAAAAACAAACGAACACGAACACAAAAAAACCCCAGAATTTATCTGCCTAAAAGTTGATTGGTCCTGGAAGAGATGAGAACAAAAAGACACTCATGTACATGGAGAATAGTTAATATGCCAATATATCCTATTATGGATTAAATTGTGTCCCCGTAAAATGTGTGTCAATTTGGCTAGGCCATGATTCCCAGTATTGTATGACTGTCCATCATTTTGTCATGTGATGTGATTTTCTTATGTGTTTATAAATCCTACTTCTATGATGTTAATGAGGCAGAACTCAATCTATAAGATTAAATTGTATCTTGAGTCACTCTTTTGAGATATATAAGAGAGACTCAAGCAGTGAGACAGAGGGGACCTCATACCACCAAGAATAAAGAACCAGGAGGGGAATGTGTCCTTTGGACCTGGAGTTCATGTGCTGAGAAGCTCGTAGACCAGGGGAAGGTTGATGATAAGAATCTTCCTCCGAGGCAGAAGAGGGAGACAGCCTTCCCCTGGAGCTGACACCCTGAATTTGGACTTCTAGCCTACCATACTGTGAGAGAATAAATTTCCCTTCGTTAAAGCCATCCACCTGTCGTATTTCTGTTATAGCGGCACTAGATAACTAAGACATACCCGCTAACTACAAACTCTTCTATTCTTCGAGGTTTGTTTAGAAAATAAAGTGACAAAGGAAATGGTTAATGGCTCAAAGGTGATCTTTATATTTGAAATCACAAACTTTTGTGTGACAATCCATCCTCCAAAAAGGAGATTTCATGACACCATGTCTTTCAAGATATGGAGAATAACTAGTTTTTCAACCTTGCTAGCCCTGGTGGCACAATGGTTATAATTGTTCGGCTGCTAACCCAAAGGTCAACAGTTTGAATCCACCAGCTGCTCTTTGGAAACCTTATGTGGCAGTTTTACACTGTCCTATAGGGTCACTATGAGTGGAAATTGACTAGACAGCAACGGGTTTTTTTTTTTTTATAAAACCTAACCCTAATCCTAGAGCACTCTATCTACATAATGCCAAGTCACCATATTTTCTGATTCATTTTCATCTAATTGATTGGTTTTGATGATTAAGCAACTCACCTATTAATTTATACTATATAAATAATGTGTATTCCCTGCAGAAAAATTAGAAAATATAGTTAAGAAAGAATTTTCAAAAAGAAAAAAATCTACCGACAATCTCACAACACAGTGATAAAAATTATATTATATATTTAATTGTATTTATAAATCTTTATATGTCCACATATGTGATATGGTCATAGTCGATAGCTTACAAAAACACAATCTTACCAATATAATGTTTTGTAACCTGCTTTAGGTAAGTAAAAAAAGCAAATCAATTTCTCCTCAGCAATATGAGAACAGGAACAATGTCTATTTTGTTCACTACTATATCTCCAGCACCTAACACAGTATCTGGCATGTACTAGGTGCTCAGATATGACTCTTTAAATGAATGAACACTAGATTCTATCCTCTTTAAGGTATTTGAGGCTTCAATGCTTTACAATAATGCAAGAGACTAATACATAAATTATTAAGTTATCTTGTATGAGTTGAAGAAGAATCATTTAGATTTAGACTATCATCTGATTTGAGTCTTCTCCTCCCTTCCTAGGCCCAGCATTACTTCTGGAAGAAGATATTTGCCAGTATGGATGTTGGCCCTCATTATGCTTGGAGTGATGGCAATCTTGGGATTAATTATTGGTCTTCTTGTTCATTTTCTGGCAGTTGGTCAGTATTAACCATATTTTCATTTCACTTTTACAACTAATTTACTGTTGAGTTTTAAAAATTGACAAGAATCAACATCAATATAAAATTTCTTCATGGAAATTTTCTCATCTACTTACTATTTTATTTCAGTAAAACACTTTGTACTTACTTGACACAGAAATTTATGAGGGTTTTTAAACCAGGTGTTTCCTTGATCTTCTTGATTATCACCAGCTATATCACCAGCTGTGGGGGGAATGGATGGGACTTAAGTGCTCAATACTCGATGTCAACATTCATTGTCAATAAAGCAGTTTATGTAGTAGATTTGCAGTTGAGTTGTTAGTAAATGTATCTCAAATCCTGGAGATCCCTATTCTTCTTGGTTCAATTCTGCTATTGGTTGCTGAGATATGATGTGTAAATAGCAATGGATAAGTAGCAAATGGCTCTTGTAACAGTAGATTGTAAAGAATGATTGAGTGGCTGAATGTTCCTACAAACTTGACGCTTTTTTAAATGCTTTTATCAATGGTACACTCACAAAGCTTGACAAGTCTTTTTTTTTTTTAAACCTTTAGAAAAAATAACCCCAACATTTGTGTAATGATCTAATGTTTTCAAAGAAAATTGGCATCTATTATTCCATTTGATCCTCACAATAATCCTTTGGGCTAGGGAGGGTAACTTTTACCACTGTCTGTATTTTCACATGCAGAAAACTGAGGCTCAGAAAAGTCAAGTGATTTGCTTAATATCACAAGCTTTTAAGTGGCATAGTTGGACTCAGATCAAGATCTTAATATTTTAAGTGTATTGTTCTACTTTGGAGGCCTGGTGGCACAGTGGTTAAGCATTCAGTTGCTAACCAAAAGGTCAGCAGTTCGAATCCACCAGCAGCTCCTTGGAAACCCTATGGGGCAGTTCTACTGTGTCCTATATGGTTGCCATGATTTGGAATCAACTCGACAACATCAGGTTTTTTCGGGTTCTACCTTATTCTGATTTTTTTTTTTTTTTTTTTTTTAATTTTATCCCTCTGAAATCCACTTCCTTTACAATAGCGATATTTTTGGGATAACGTTTTGCCTGATTTGGTGCCAATTTCACGTCTTTTTTTTTTTTCACCTAGTTTTTTTTCCTTTGTTTCTCCCCAACCCTCTTGGAACTTGTCCTTCACATGAGTAGTGGATAGGCCAAGGTCTCTTGCTTGCCATATCTATCTACGAAATCTCCCAAGTCTGGATTTTTCTGTCCTCCCCTTGCCCCCACTCATTAAAAACTGGCACACTTCACATAATTTCCTTAAGAACAGTCCTCTCACTTTTCCAAATCAAGCTCCTATGAAACAGAAGCCCTACCAATATGTTAGTGGAGACCAGTAGTTTAATTAGTTATCTTTGCAATACTGCATTTTAATAGATTTCCTCTTCTGGGGAAACCATGCCTTAACAGAAAAGAGTGATGCAGATGGGAGAACTACAGGAAACTTGGCTTGAGCAGGACATGTGTGGAACAAATATTTACCCTCAAATTTCTTTACCTGGTCAACCACCTACCATTTCAGAACAAGGCTAGGCCTGTTTATATGACCTGAAGTTAAATTAATTGAACTGGTCTACCTGTGGAATAAAACCGATACTCAAACTCTGTTGTAAGTAAGGGTTATTTGCAGTCAGTTTAAAAGATGGGTTTGCTCTAGGATTCTGGCTTAGGAACCAATACATTTTTTTGTTGTTGTTAATATTGTGGGCAACTTGAGCTGAATGACAGCTATAGTAATTCCTCATTCAAGAGGTATGAAATTAGTCTCACTGGCTGAATATATCTATTGTTTCCCAAGCCATTTCTTTATTTTTGAGTTTCCACCTCCTGGATTAACTCAGAGATTAATATTCCACAAGGATCATTATTTTAGAAACAACTTTGGTTCAGCCGTTTCTTAACAGTTAATGAACAAAACTATCTCCAAATTCTTACACACATGTTTATAAACAATTCCAAAATCCTTCAGACAATTTATCAAGGAGTTCTAAACCCTGGCTTCCCCTCACATTCGCCTCTGTTCATTTCCCGGGCCCCAGCCTTAGGTTTTGTGATTCAGTAGGCCTGCCCATGTGTACTTTGTGGAAACTCTGTGATGATTCTAATGCATAAATACTGTTGCAATCTACTAGTCTAAGACAGTGTTTTAGGGAGGTGATAAAATACATTTTTATCTAAAGATAGAAAATTTTATCATAAACCTTGGGATGGGGCAGGTTACTATGTAAAGGACTGACTGTTGCTATGTCTAGAAAACCGAGAAATCACTGGCCACGGCGTATATAGTACAGTCTTATTCAATTTATCAAATCAAGTGAAAACTGACTTTAAAATGACACCTCAAGTCAATCTGTTTTTCCAGTGATATTATAACTAGAGTCAGAAATCTGAATCTGGGCATAGTATCAATGGCTTTTGACCAATTAACTAGCCTACCTGTAAATACTGAGGTTCGACATATTGGATATAACACAAAGTTAGCAGTTTCTAGTTATTTGCTCTTTCTGCTCAGTGACAAACTGCACAGATTAAATTCATGAAATAGTAGGAATAAGAGGATCTTGAAGTTTATCTATTACAGTTTAGTCTTTGTGATTAATGAACAAAATTCCAGAGGGCTAACATAATATGCCAAGGTGTCACAGCCAATTTGAGGCGGGATTGGCACTAGTCCCTCTAACTTCATATCTATCCTTCTTAGGCAACTTCTTAGACAGAACCCAGCATTTGACTCTATATGCACTCATTCCCATTGTACTTCTTATTTTCAAAATCTAACAAGTATTGCTGGCTAAGCCCTAAGAGAAAATAACAGAAATTAATTTTCTTTTTAGACTGAAATTAGATTCCTGATTTCCAAGACAATTAATTATTTCAGCTAAAGAAGACGTATACTTTTGAAGGTATTATCAGCATCCTTAGACTCTGTGTGTACATTTTTAAGGTGGATCAAAAAGCCCAATTACCCTAAAAATATATGAATTACTAATTACTTAACAAAAAACAGGGCACCGTTTCATACTAGTTCCTGTTTTTAAAAGTACATATATGACCTGAGAGAACTACCTCTATGCTGCTCCTATTTTAAATTATCGTGAAGTGGTTTCTATTTGGGAATAGAAGTGGATGGGGATGTGCGACTTTGTGGCACATACACTCCACCAGCCACCACAAGCCACAGGGCAGTAAGACGTCATTAAGGAATGACTTTAATGAATGAAAAGCCGGCCTACAGGCAATGGAGTATATGAAAGGGTGAAAGAGGCTATAAATCTCCTAGAAAGTGAAGGTTGATGCTTGTAATGTTTCCTATATCAGCACTACTTAGAAAGGTAAATTGGGCTAAACACTAATTTAGAAGAGTTTAGATTACATATGAAAATTAGGTTTCATCTGTATTGCATACTCAGGTGGATTTTTAGTGGCTATCTGGATCACTGTTTTGAGAAGGACTCTGAGGCTACGCCTGGACTTCACAGGACAGTGACGTGAAAAGAAGGAGCAGGAGGGCTGCATGAATGCTTGGTAGTTGCCATTTCTAGAATACGTGGATATTTATTCCCCTCCATTTCCCAAACCCCCTTTTGTTCCTCCTTCTTTATTTCTAAAGTTGGGTTGAATTTTAGTTTTGAGGCAGAGCTATGAGCGGACTTGAGGCAACTTCCTATTTCAAAATTCTTTGGGTATTTCTTTATTTCACAGGAAACATTTACTATTACCAAGGTAATTTTCGTATTTTTGGAGTTACATACAATAACAGCTGTGAAAATGCAGCTTCACAAGCTGGCACACCTTTGAGCAAAGATATTGAGTCTCAGGTAAGCTAGAGCTTTTCTTTATTAATTTCATTATAAATTTGATTGAATTTGACATGGTGGTTCAATTTTTTAATTTCTTGACAGATGTTCAATGCACTTCAAAATTCTAGTATATGCAAAGAATATATCAACTCTCATGTCATCTAACTTCTATAAGTCCAACTCCTTCAAAACATTATGGAAAGGGGAGTAAGTAACATATGACAACAGCACTGGTTTTAAATAACAACAACAGAAACATAAAGAAGACAAACACAGACATAAACGAAGGGAGGAAGGAAGGAAAGAAAGAAGGGCACATTCTCCAGGGCCTGTGAATTTTAACATTTGTAAGGAGTTGTGAAAAAAAGGATGAAATGAGAACCGATTCCAAAAAATTGACTCATGAGTGGAAAATATGATATCTAGGTAAATTAAAATAAAAAAGATTGAAGGAAAAAGGGACAACTTAGAATAAGAGGAAAATTAAAAACTGGGCTATGTGAAACACATATCTTACAAGGTAAAAACAGCACTGCACTTTTTAAGTAAATTCTTTTTACAGTATCATGTTGCCACAAAGTGCCACAATCCATGCATTCCTTTATTCAGCGAACATCTATTGTCCATATTAGTGCCTTACAGACAGCACTGCATATACTGTACAAGATGTAAACATTAATGAAGCAGTCTCCACCTTCAGGAATTTTGCAGTCTACTTGAGGAGATAAGAATTATACACAAATAGATACAATAAAAGGTAGTAGTTGAAAGGTACTTGGGACTGGAAAGAAGTGTAAGTAGGAGTCACTCAAACCAAGATGGAATGGAATACCACGGTAACAGTACATTCCATAAAGGAAGCAGTATCACTTAGGAGATGCAGGACAATCACTTAAGGGTTTCAAGTAATGTTTTATAAGGTTCCTAGGTGGTGCAAATGGTTTGCACTTGACTGCTAACCTAAAGCTTGGTAATTTGAACCAAACCCTTGGTACCTCGGAAGACAATCCTCGCAATCTGCTTTCGTTAAGATTACAGCTTTGAAAATCCTATGGAGCAGTTCTACTCTGTAACACATGGGGTTGCCATGAGTCAGAACTGACTTGATGGCAACTAACAACAAGGAGTAATGTTTTAAGATATATTCCTTAAAAAGCATTATCAAACATACCTGCTGTGGTGTAAATAAATCCTTGCCCCAGGTTATGGAAGACAACTGACCAACAGTATCAGAGCAGACAACCGAATTGTGAATGGAAAAAAAGCTCAGGCAGAGGCATGGCCATGGCAGGCCAGCATGCAATGGAAAGGTAAGCAACGCTGTGGAGCCTCTCTGATCAGCAGCAAGTGGCTATTATCTGCAGCTCACTGCTTTGCAAAGTAAGTTTGGAAGACTGACTAACGTGTAGGATTCTTGGTGCAGGTCTATTTTGAGTAGTCTTGGGTGCTAAACCTAAATGTGTGAAGATTCATCACGGCCATACAGAATTTATGCATAATTGAAGGTCAGTGAAGCCATTTAAATTTGGGAACAAAAGGGAATATGAATGGAAGCAATTACATTTTCTGAATAGCTACCTTGGACTGATATTAAGTGCTTTATTTATATCATTTCATGTAATTATAACAATAATTCTGTATGGAAGGTATAATTTGCCCTATTTAAGGTAAGGAAACTGGGGCTCAGAAGAGAAGTAACTTGGCCAAGATCACACAGATCTTAAGTGACAGAAATTGAATGTGAACTCAGTTGTATGTTTGATTCCAGTAACTAGGTACTTATTTATTTGACCTTCTAGGCATTTACAATCTAGTTGAAGAAATTTCAATGTCATAAATTAAAATGATAAGACAGCACAGTGTAGTAAACCTCATATATATGACACAGATAGTAAGTGCTATGGAAATTTGAGGAAGAAAGAGTGCATATTTAGTTGAGGTGTGAAGAGGTAATAGTTGACGTGGACCCTGAAGATATAAGATTTGATTGATAGAGTAGGGGAAGAGAAAGAATAATATTCATTCAAATGTGTGGAGATGGAACAGTACGAGTTATACTCTGTGGATGGTAAACAAAAAGAACAATTTGAAGTAGAGTAGAATTTGTAAAACAATACAGTAGAAAATACAGTTAGAAAATTTAGCTATATTAAGATTGTGGACAACTCTAAATGACAAGATAGTAGCCAGTGATGTTCAAAGAACATGGACTATGGACCACCTGAGGGGGTTGTTGTTAGCAGTGTAGATCCTTCAGCCTCAGACTAGACCTTTTAAATAAATCTCTGGAGGTAGAGCCTGAGTTGATTCTAAGGGAATAAAGTTTAAGAAGCACTGATGTTGAAGGTGGGGAGTCACTGAAGACTTTACGATGGGAGACAGAGTAAAGAGTGGCACAGTTAAATGAAGGTCTTGAGATCTAAAACAATGACAACAACAACAACAAAAAGTCAGCACCTGACATTTTGAGGGAGAGGTGAGAGTAGTTAAACAAGATGGCAGATGCTAAATTGAGAAAAAGTCTCAGTGGGGAACTGGAGAAAGTGGCCAGAAAATCTAATTAGAAGCCAAGACGCAAAGATAATCAGTGAGTCTAGTTGGGAGGATCTACAGAAGACTGAAAGATCTAATAGTCCTTACTACTATTTCTATATGACTGCAAAGTTTATAATATCCCCATGTCAAGGATGTTGTTTAAATTAAGAGTTTAAGTGCTTTATAGGACAATGTTGTTTGAAAATCTCATGCCTTAAAGTTATGAAACGACCAACTAAGAACACTGAGTGTATTCTAATTATATTGTGTCTTCTAGGAAAAATAATTCAGAAGACTGGACTGTCAACTTTGGAACTATAGTCAATAAACCACATACGGCACGGAAAGTCCAAAACATAATTTTTCATGAAATTATAGCAGTCCTGAGCTTCATGATGATATTGCTCTTGTGCAGCTTGGGGAAGAAGTTGTTTTCAGAAAGTACGTTCATAGGATTTGTCTTCCTGAAGCCAAAATGAAACTCAAAGAAAATGACAGTGTTGTAGTTACAGGATGGGGAATGCTTTATATGAATGGTAATATTTTCTGTAAAAATGTAATAGCTTCATGGGAATAATTATTTGAACAATCGATTGATCACTCCCTCATGCAACTAATTAATAAGTATACTGAAAAGAAAACCACTAGTGTTAAGTGGTAGGAGCAAAAGCATGGCATTGCCTTCAATTTCTAAAATATTTCTGGGAATGGAGGTTGGAAAAATTGGAATTATGTAGGAGGCAGCCAGCATAATAAACTTCTAAAAGACACTAATCTTGCTTAGGTCTGGCCTGGCTCTTGGTGACCAAAGAATCTGCTTTATAGGGGCGGGAGTCTGGGGACCATGGTTTCAGGGGACATCTAGGTCAATTGGCATAAAAAAGTTTATTAAAAAAATGTTCTGCATCCTACTTTGGTGAGTGGTGTCTGGGGTCTTAAAAGCTAGTGAGCAGCCATCTAAGATGCATCAATTGGTCCCAACCCACCTGGAGTAAAGGAGAAAGAAGAACACCAAAGACACAAGGAAAGTATTAGCCCAAGAAAGGGCCACATAAACCAGAGACTGCATCAGCCTGAGATCAGGAGAACTAGATGGTACCTGGCTACCACCAATGACCACCTTGACAGGGAACACAACAGACAGTCCCTGATGGAGCAGGAGAAAAGCGGGATCCAGAACTCAAATTCTAGTAAAAAGAGCAGACTCAATGGTTTAACTGAGACTGGAGGGACCCCAGAAGACATGACCCCCAGACTCTCTGTTAACCTAATACTAAAATCATTCCCTAGCCCAACTCTTCAGACAAAGATTAGACTGGACTATGGGACATAAGACGATACTAATGAAGAGTGTGATTGTTAGCTCAAGTAGATATATGAGATTAAGTGGGCAGCTCCTGTCCAGAGGTGAGATGAGAAGGCAGAGAGGGTCAGGAGCTGGTTGAATGGACACGGGAAATCCAGGGTGGAAAGGAGGAATGTGCTGTCACAGCATAGGAGAGAAACTAGGGTCACATAACAATGTATGTATAAATTTTTGTATAAGACACTATCTTGAATTGTAAACTTTCACTTAAAGTACAATAATAAAATATAGAAAGAATCTGCTTTATTCCGTAAATATTGTTTGTGCCAACAAACAAGGATAAGATCCTCATAATAAGCATCATTTATTGCTTGTAGGTCACCTTCCAATGACACTTGAACAAGCCCTTGTGAAGATTATTGACAATAAAAATTGCAATCCTCCGTATGCACTTTCTGGCATGGTGACTGATAACAATGTTATGTGCTGGATTTATGTGAGGAGAAGCTGATTCCTGTCACATATGTCTAGATACATTTTTAAATTGTTTTCTCAAAAGTACTAAATAAATGGAGATTTCCATCAACAGAAAACATTTTCTATGTTAATGATTTCCACACAGTAGCTTCATATTTCATTCAACTTAAGTATTTATTAAGCCTGTCATGTTCTAGGCACCAGCCTAGATGCTGGGGATGCAGTGGTGAAAATATTCCCTGCCCTCATGGAGTTTTCGGTTTAGGAATCCACACAAAGGATAATACTTAGGAGTTGATAAAAGAAATTTGACTTTGTTTAATGGGTAACCTGCAGATATGGAGTGCTGCCTCCTCTTTATCCCAAGATGCAGCAGGGGATTTACCATGTGCTCATGTCACCCATTCTTCACGGGCTTCTTCATGAAGACGTAAGCTCAGTGCAATGTCCACACAGCTTAATAACCTCCTCCATATTCAAGGCCAGATTCACTACAAAATCAACTTCAGATCTGACCAATCTAACATCTGGCAGCTCAAGGCAATATATACTGAATAAACACAAGGTTCCCAGAGTTCTAAGCCCAAAGAGTCTGGACTGGCTTTGGAGACCAGGGTATACTGATAACTCTGGAGGAGAGGCAAACGGGAATTCTTTGACATGATAAAAAACATTTTTCTCTTCTTCTTCTTTTAATGTAATTTTATTTATTTTGTTGTTGTTGTTGAGAATATACACAGCAAAACATACACCAGTTCAACAGTTTCTACATGTACCATTTAGTGATATTGATTACATTATTTGAATTGTGCAACCATTCTCAGCCTCCTTCTCTGAGTTGTTCCTCCCCCATTAACACAAATTCACTGCCCCCTAATGTTTCTATCTAATCTTTCGACATGCTGTTGTCAATTTGATCCCATATCAATCTTAAAACAGCATAATGCTCAAGGCAGACAGGTTTTACTAGTTAAGCTAAACTGTTGTTTGGTTTTAAGAAGACTTCGGGGAGGGTATTTCTGGTTTAAAGTTTAAAGAGTATCACAGGGCAATAGTTTTAGGGGTTCCTCCAACCTTCATAGCTCCAGAAAGTCTGGAGTCCATGAGAATTTGAAATTCGGTTCATTTTCTCCCTTTTGATCAGGATTCTTCTACGAACCCTTCTTATTCTAGAGTGGTTCTGGTGGACCACTAGCTTACCCTGACTCTAGAGATATCTGGCATCTTGTTGGAATAGTAAGCTGGGGCAAAGGATGCAGCAAAAAGAATAAACCAGGGGTGTATACGCGAGTGACTTCTTACTGTGATTAGATAGCCTCCAAGACTGGAATCTGATGGAAAAGTGACTATGAAATGGAACATAAAGACAACTGCATAGCATTCTTAACTGTTGCTTCAAGTTCTTATTCTTTTGGTCTTTAGTAAACCAATCATTTTTACATATCAATGTATAAAGATCTTTATCAATATTCTATCTAAAACACTCCATTTATTGATGTATTTCACTAGTATAGGAGGCAAGAAGAAAACAACACAAAATTAGGTTACCATGTTATTTTTTTATCAATAGCCTAGTTCTGATTTATCTCACCATTACATTTAGAATAGACCTTAATTTGTTTTTTCAGAATTAAAAAAAAAAACAACTTTTTCTGCTAGGATGAGAACACACATGCTAGGTGTACCAAATAAATTATTTTGGGTTCTAAAAATTAGAATTGCATGTTGTTAAGTTGAAATATATGAGACAAATATGTACATTGATTTATTATTTATATGTGAGATTGTTTGTGCACCTCATAAAACTACACAATCTTAAAGTGGAGAAGAGATATCAGAGGTTCAGTTAGGCCAAGTGTCTCAATTTCTAGATCAAGAAACTGAAGACCAGAGAGGACAGATTACTTGCTTAAAGTGACTCTTCAGCATCTTTGATAAGTTGTAACCTTCACCCAAGTTTACCCTCCTAGAGTTTACATCCAAAAATTATTTGGGGATTAAAGAATAATGTATTTTTAAAATTAAAATTATTTCTGTATCATTTTCTTCATGTCCGTCTTTAGCCATTTTTTTTCTTCTCTTGCAGCAAAAATGATATAAGGCATTTATTGTAGTATCTCTCCTTACAGTGAATATGCAACAGTATAGAGAGCTCACTTCGTAATCTCTACAAATAATTTACCTTTTGTAATTGCCTAAAATAAAAAGTAACTAAAATTTTAAAAGGAAGCTAAAACTAAGAGGAAAACTCATTTCTTCAGTTGTTTGTGGTATTGCCCTTTTATTCTTCTCTTATTATAAAACATGACTGAAATGACATGCATAATAATGACATGCATAAGAATGGCATGCCAATCCATTTGGTGTGATAAGGTGTGATAAGATGGTGTTTTGTTTTTTTCTTCCCATCTATTCTTCAGGAATGTCACGGTTATTCATTCATCGTAGGTTTATTGAGTACCTAACATGTTCCAGCCACCACCTGTCTGTCAGTTTGTTGTACTGTGGTAGCTTGCATGTCTCTATGACACTGGAAGCTATGCCACCAGTATTTCAAATACCAGCAGGGTCACTCCTGGTGGACAGGTTTCAGCGAAGCCCCCACTAAGACAAGTTAGAAAGAAAGGCTTACTGATCTATTTCCAAAAATCAGCCAACAAAAACTCTATGGCTCACAACAGAATATTGTGCAATATATTGCTGGAAGATGAGTCCCCTAGGTTGGAAGGCACTCAAAATACACAGTGGCCACAACAATGGACTCAAGGATATCGATGATCACGAAGATGGCACAGGACTGGGCAACATTTTGTTCTTTTGGACATGGGATCACCATGAGTCAGACACACTGCCAGCAATATGTTCTAGGCACAGTCAGGTATAGATACAGTAGCTACCTTCAACAATGCTACATTTAGTGGATAAAGATAGGCAGTAAACACATAAATAAGAATTTTAGATTCTGATGTGTTGTGAAGGAAATAAAAGGTAATATTATAGAAAATACTGGGGCAGACAAGTAAACTTTAGATTGGGCTGTCTGAAAAAGAACTTCTCTGAAGGGGTGGCATTTGAGCTGGACCTAAATGGTGAGAAGGCGAAACATACAAAGGTCTAAAAGAAGAGAAATCTGGCAAAAGGAACAAGTATAATGGCCTTGAAATAAAAAATAAACTTGGTGGATCTGAGGGGCAGAAAGAAGATCATTGTAACTGGAGTCTGGTGAGTAAAGAGAGATAGTAGGAGATAGTATGCAAGAAGTAGCTAGGTGGGGGCGGGAACAGGTCAAGTAGGGCTTTGGAAGCCAAATTAAAGACCTTGGATTTTATTCTAACTGAAATGGGAGGCCTTGGAGCTATCTAAACAGAGAATGTGATGATCTAATATACACTTAGAAAAGATTAGTTTTGGCGAAGAAGGTAGGCTGGGGTGGGGTAGGCGGTACACAGTGAGAAGAAGGGTGACAGGTTAGAAAGCTTTTGCAGCTCTCCTGTCAAGAAATGCCGTATTCGCCCTTTTTGTTGAGTAGGAAACATAAATAACAGAAAGGATCCTATGATAATGTAACTCAATGTGGGGAAAAAAGGTAGAGATTCTTTTAGTATAATTAAATTACTAAGAGGTATTATTGACTGTGTAGATACAGCCAATTAGAACTCTTATACCTTGTATTGTATAATACAAGAGTCTCCTTGTCTTATAGCTACTTGATAATAAGCCAGATAGTTGTGGGCTTATTACCTTCATCCCCAAACTTATGAGCATAGATCTCAGTCCCTGTTCAGCTTCTTCCACTGGGAAGTAGTTGGAAATTAATGAATGCTTAGCCCAGTATGAAAGACAGAGGAAAAGTGATGGGAAGGAAAGGGTAAAAAGGGGTTTGGAGGAGGGTGAGAGCAGGTAGAGCAGAGAATTTATGAAACTAAGGGGCCCATGAGGAAGTAATGAAGAGCAAAGAATTCTCAAGGTTGAGGTTCCCTCAGTGAATAATGACAGAAATGTTAGCATGAGTGGCCCAACGCCAATGCTCGATATTGAAGGCACTTGGTGAGGAGCTAAGGAGAAGGTGAAACAACCTCTATAAAGTTTGTTGTTAGCTGCTGTCAAGTTGACCCCTGACTCATGGCGACCCCATGGAAGTTGGGATTGGACCATTGTGATCAATAGGGTTTTCACTGGCTGATTTTTTGGAAGTAGAGCACCAGGCCTTTGTATCATAGCAACTTGCAAGGCTCCACAGACAGACAGTGGTGGCTGCACTTGAGGTGCGTTGGCCGGGAATCAAACCCTGGTCTTCTGCTTGGAAAGCTAGAACTCTACCACTGAACCATCACTGCTCCCATAAGGTAAAGCAGCAATTATCAATTATCAAGGTGGATTCTTTATGGACGCAGTAGGGTGCTTAGCCTTAAATACAGAATTTAGAACCTCTGTATTCTATGGACTCTATACAGGGCCAGATTAAGGCACATGAGGCCCCTAAGTACTGATAATCTTTGGTGCCCCCTCCTCTGCTTACTCATGCATTTTAAAGGCATATGCGAGTTATATATATACATATATATATGTGTGTATATATGTGTGTGTGTGTCTTAGCTATCCATAATGTAATTTCTTTTTAAATGCCGACTATTGTTAGCGATTGAATGCAAAAGTGGCATATTTCATTTTAACGGGATGAGATGAATGGGATTATAAAATTTTTAGGGGATACAGGTACTAAGATTTTTACTATATACTACATTTTCTACAAAAAGAACATTACACTTATTCTGCAACAAAGAAAATGAGTCAGTGAACATAGTTGTTTCAACAATCAATGTAAAATTCTGTTGTTCTCCCACAATGAAAAATTGACTTTTCACCAGTTTTGCTTTAACAGCTCATACGTCAATTTTGATGCTTGTTTCATAATAAATTCTGTAATTATAAATGAATAAACGAAAAGATGTCATAAAAGAAAATTTAATGATCAGGAAATAAATATTACAACAAATTACTGTATTTTATTTTTAGATAGATCTTTCATCTCTAACATGTAATTAAAAAAACATTTCTTTCTATTCTTTGCTCTTACAAGTTCTTCAAGATTTTGTCACAATTAAGCTGCCAAACAATATCTACTTCCCTACATAATAAGGATAATGAACCGAGTCTTTCTTGAATTATTGTTGTATACTGAGGATTTTTGAGTCTCTTTAGAGATGAAAATGAGTGTTCTGTTGTGCAGATTGTGACCATTAAAGTTAGGAATATGTGTACAGCAATTTGTTGGTGGGCCCTTCGAAGATCTCCATGAGTGTTTTTTGTCTTCAAATAATACTTAAAAACTTTTGTACTCACTTTCCATCCTTTGATGCTGCGTCTTCACAGTTCATTGGACTACTGCTGATACCCAGTGGGGGTGAGAGTGATTGCAAAGAGCATGATACAAACACAAGAGTACGCTCAATTTGAAGACGCGTTTTGGTTTGCTTTGTGCAGGACAGGACTAAATATGTCACAAGTCACATGATTATAGTGCCATTGGTATGTTTTTATGTGGTCAATGAGAGAGAATTGAAT